ACAGGGTATGTGGTTTCAGTCCACACCTGTGGAAGCAGTGTTGGGAAAAAAAGTCTGTGTCGTTTACAGTAAACAAATCAGACGGTTGTAAACTGCCGTTCGCCGACTTCAACTAGTCCTGCCTCCAGAGTGATTTATACATAAATCGTATCAAATAAAATAATAGTTAAGGAATATGAATATGGATTAACATTTAAAGTAATTCAAGTGTTGGCCACACTATGTGACGTGTGTGTTTTTCGGCTGTTACCACTCAGTTACATGTAATATTCGCCTGTATGGCAGGCGTTTAAAGCAAAAACGTTCGACTCCTGTCGTTCTACGTAGTTTTAACGACTACAAAAACAAAAATGTCTATGTCTATGTGTGTCATTTGAGGCCCTGCTCCGTTTAAAATGTGAACCAGTACTTCGTTATACTGCCTTCCTGCCCCCGCCTCACCCCACCCTCCGCTGGTGCAGCGTGGCCATAACATGAGGCGGGTATATGTGCAGCACAAAATGGCTTACACTTAGACAGAGCAGCTGGTGGAGGTACAGGGAGAACAAACGGGTTTTTTTTATCTTATAAGAAAAGTACGTGATCTATACATATATATTTCTGAGAGGATTATTCGGTGTCAGGGACGTACGGAGAATAAATGGACATTTCCTTTCATACGTGTTCGCTCGTTAATGCTGATTTATTTGATCTGGGAATGAATAAAAAATCAAAATGTAGAAATTAAATCATGACGTGGTGCGTTTTAAATGTACATTTTCATTAACATATTTTGGAATCGTATTCAGATAACGGCTTAATCTGTATTTAAAAAAATGTTTATAATCTGGCGAAATATCAAAGGCGTATATGTGTTGTTGCAAGTATGAAGTTAAATATATATTTATATATATAAAAGTACAATTAACATAAAAGTTTAAGTGTCAATCTTGAGAAAAGCCTGAATAATTTTACTTCGGCCTTTGCGTTTAAAAATCCGATTAAAACAAAATACAATGCAATATAAGTCCACTGATGTTACGTGTACATACTGTACAACAGAATTTAAAAAAATTTAAATGCTTCGCTTGTTTATCTCCAATCTTTCACGGCTGTTTTTTTTTTTCTTATAAACGTCCCTAAGGGCACGTTGCCAGATCTTTGTCAAACACACACATTCATTAAACCATTTGTAACCAAGGGAGCAACGCTTGTCGTTTTGGTGATCACGCATATCTGGCAACCCCTCAATCTCCTCTGGGTCACATCTTCACTCCCCTCCACGGCCACACCGGGGGGGATTTAAAAAAAAAAAGACGAAACCGTTTAAGCCCTCCACGGCCACACCGGGGGGGATTTTTTTTTTTTAAAAAAAGACGAAACCGTTTAAATGACTAATTTTGGCGTGGACGAGGGAGCCTTGCTCTTCGGCGTGGGTTCGTACACGTCACTCATATCCGTACCCACGCACACGGACAACACCCACGAACGCCGCGAGTTGAATGAGTCGGTCCCACCTTCTCCTCAAAATGGAGACCCTCGCTTCTCCAAAATGGAGGTCTGTGTCGCACCAGCTGCAGGCGGGGTCAGAGTGGAGAACAGGTCTGAACTTTGACCCAAACTGCTTTAACCCCCACCCCCCTCCTTCTTTAAATGAATTCCAGCCTTAGGCCTTTCTGTCTACTTGTGTTCCATCCTATATGTTTCTGTGCGTGACTCCGCCCTCTATATATATTTCATTCCTTCTCGTCGTTTAAAAAGGCGGGAAGTCACAGATATATGTAAATGCGTTTAGAATTTTTGTATGAGTGACACAAACAAACAAACAAAAAAATCTAAATTTACGTTGTTTTACGTATCTTATCTTTACTTTTCAACTGACCGTTTTCCTTTAGAAAAAGAAAAGAAACTCCTATTCATGTGTATCTAGTTCTGAAAACAAACTATAAAAAAACTATACTAATATCCCTGGCAAAACATACGTGAAAAATAATAAAAAAAATCAGTTAAAACATTCATTTAGGAAAATAACATACTTTACTTTATTATTTCTAATGGAGAATTTGACAGGTTCTGATATGTAAATAAAAATGTAAATGATTGCATCCCTGTTCAATATTATATTTAACTAGATTAAAAACGTATGTAAGCTGTCTATTCAAGTCTCAGGAAAAACTGATACTTCATGTAATTACGTCATCCAGATTATTGATACAGACTATCTGTCTGAATCAGTTTGATCAGATTATCACTAGTGAAGAAACTCTTTAGTAAGATAGACAGTGGGAACTACTTTAATAATCCCAACATCTGTGTGTTTAAATATTTGACTGATTTAAATTATTATTATTATTTTTATTTAGAATTATTTATTCCCAATGTAAAGATAAGTAAATGTGCCCTAGACATATATATATTTTAGGATTTGAAAAATTAGTGGCAACATTTAAACAGAGCATTTGTAAATATACATTTATGTGTATATTTATTTTCAAAGTTACTTAAGTAAATGCTGCTTGTTACTTTGTTCCTCTTACATACTTGGAGCCATCAGTAGGTGGCGTCATAAGCTCGCTTATCCACTTACATGGAGACCTCTCTCCTTCCAGTAATTTCTCACTCCCCAATCATTTCATAAAACAGCTTGATAAGACAGACAGTGTTACTGATGATGAAGCAGACATTGTAAGGAAGATGATGATGTTTATGATGATGATGATGTTTATGATGATGATGATGATGTTTATGATGATGATGATGTTGTCAAGGCGATCAGACTAAAAATCCCTTATTTTACGTTTAAACATCGTCTTATTCCTCCCTGTGACTCCAGCTCATTTCTCTTCAGATATAATAGTAGTACAAAGCATACGTTAGTTAAACGACACTGCCACCTAGAGACTTCAGCAGGTGAACACTTGGATATTTAGTTTGAATTCATCAGTGTCTGTCCAGGACATCATTCACATCGAGACACATACATGCAAATCACCTGGAACAGTTTTCATCGACTTTTCCCAGCATTTAATCAGCTAATAAGAACCATTACGGCCAAACCGCACTGAAGGACGCACACATGCGTGTGCACACATGTACGGTACACGTGCATGCATTTCCCAGAACCCCCCTTGTTAGCGGTGTACTCATTAAATGGCACAGCAGTGAGTGCATGAATCCATAGGTTTTATTGGAATCCCAGTAAACCACAGTAAGCAGCTGCCCCTGCCTCACGGTCCACTCAGAGTGGGCAACGTGATGGATAAACCAGAGGTTTGTTTGTTTGTGTTGCCTGTCCCCACCCCAGGACACTGCACTGTCTCAGTCATCACACGGGGAACCAGTGGACCTGATGAAGTGACTTTTCAACATTAACATTATTGTTCACTTCATCATATAAGTGTTTATTTTTTTGACACTTGGTTCATGTTTCGGGAAACACAGATGTGTGAAGACCAGACCCTGTGGGTGTTGGTCCTCACACAGAGGTCATGCTGCCGGGGAGGGGGTCGAGGGGGGGTTACATGCTCCACTGTCTTCTGATTATTAACGTTCATGTTGCATTGAAAGGGCCAAACACAACAGTCTCACTCCCGCAGACACCAGCTCATTTGGTTCACGGGGTGCAGGGGGTGAGGGGTACCCCTGTCTCGTCTGAAGGGGCCTGACCCCTGGCCTCTGACCCCTCCTCATCCTTCTCACTCTTTTCATTCTTTGCTTCTTCTTCTTCTTCTCTGTGTTCTTTTGTGCTGCCAGTGGTTAGAGCTGAGCTCAGCATCACCACCTTCACAGCTGAGCGAACGTTACAGAACTTTCAAGAAGCTTCCAGAGGCTTCATGTTTTTTTTTGTCGTAATTACTCATTGGTGATATAACAAGTAGTAACTATGACAAATACCATGTAAAGACTTGGCCAATATTTCATGAATATTTTTTGTAAATTAATTTTGAATTAATTAATCAAATCAGTCAAGATATTTGATTTTGTTGATCACTCATACTTTAATGTATCTTTTCAACAACAAACCAAACATTTTCCTTAACTGTCGGGAAAGAGCGACACGGCAGTTATTGATGACTTATTGATGATGCTGCTCCCGCCGATCCCCCCGCCCCCTCGCCCCCCCACACAGTTGACATGGACAAAGACTAGAGGAGGCGTATGAGTGAATGACTGCAGTGTTTTGTTGTCTTTAACATTTTTTTTCTCCACACCCAACCATTCCAACCTGTTGCCATGGTTTCAACCAATAGCGTTGTCTATAAGTTGGCAGGCAGCAGGGTCAGGGGTCAGACCGGTTCAGCCACGTTGTCTTGTTGGGGGCTGGTGTGGGTCGGTGCAGGTTCATGGGGCAAAGTGTGTTTTGTGAACGGTTGAATCGTCTGGAGTGTAGCTGTTGTCAACTGCTGCTGAGGTTGGGGTTGTTGTGGGGGTCAGAGGTGGAGGTGGTGATATAAGATGTGGATGAAAGAGCTCCTCCTGGTGGAGGTGGAGGTCTTCACTCAGGTATTTGCCACACAAAAGACCGTTCACAAAACA